GTTTTCGGACATGGATTTCTACAATACAAAGAATTGTATTAGTTTGTTTACAAATATTATGTGTTTGCCAATTGATTTCATCGTTTTTTATGAGAAAATCTGCGAAATTTCGAAAATGTTATGTAAAGATGCTTTAATTGATGATGTCATTGGCGCTTGTACGTTAACATAATTATTATGACTAATGACTTAATATATACAAGGATTATGTGATATTTACATACAAATTCGATTTATTGAATATATACTACTAGTTTTTTGAATTTTATTTATTGATAAAGAATTTTGAAATCATTAATAAATAGTATTTTATAAAATAAAAAAGTAATTTTTTAATTTCTATTACATAAAGTTATAAATAAATATTACATAAAGTCCAAAAACGAAATAATATGACATTTAAAAATTAGTGATTTTCCTATTTATAAAACTGCGGTTAAATACAGAACACCAAAAACTGAGCTGCAGTATCACCACACACAATAAATATGAAAATAATTACACAATTAACACAAATTAATACATTTACTTTTCTTCCTTCTTTAATCTCACTGTTTAGTTAGTTACTGTACGTTACAATGTCAAATAAAATGATAACATTGACATTTCAAATACTAATCATTTATCACAAAATGGAACCTACAACCAAAAATATCGATGGATATATTTTTGAATTCTTATATTGTAATTGATGAGTTAGTTAATCTTATTTTCAAAAGAATGAATGAAGTAAAAGATTATATTGATTATATTAATACTCACACTATACTTTCACATGAAATTTATAATTAGTTATTAAATAATCAAAATAATTCAAATTTGATTTATTTACTTTGATGTTTTAATTATTATGGAATTGGAACCAATTCTAATAAACAAAGAGCAATTGAATTATATCCAAAAGCTGCAGAATTAGAAAATAAAGTAGCTCAATTATATCTTGTTGATGAATGCATTTATGGGGATGTTACAATAATTACAATTTAGCTTTTTTTGAGTTATCTAAAAATTAGCAGATGAAGGATATGCGAGTGGAATAAATAACTTAGGATGGTGATAAAAAAAAATAATAATAGTTTTGCACATTAAATAGGTTATTTAATAGATAGATTACTTTATTGATTAGATTTTTTACGTCTTTATTTATATTAAATTAGATTTGCACCAAATTTCTTACAATACTAATAAAGAGTGTTACTAGAAAAAAAAACAATACATATTCGCCGATCTGCAGAATGCATGTAATAATTTAGGCGCAGTTAGATTTATATATTTTTTTTTAGGTAATTTTTTTCTTGAAATTCTTATGGGTGGTTTATTTAAAAAGATGGAATAAAAAGACTAATTATTAGTCAAAATAATTATATTAAAAGGCTTTATGGCAAGGATGCCGTGATATAAACCAGTTATTTCACGTCTATGATTTTCATGCTGCGCTATGAAAATCATAGTTCCCATGAAATAACTATTACAGATTGGGATCGGCGTGATTAACTGACCAATTTATATGATCTTCGCCCTAAATACTTAAATAATATTTTTTCCGGAGTTTTTTTTCACTTTCTATTGAAATTTTTCTTTTTAATTCAGAACAAAATTGTTTTATTAATCCGAATTCGTTTATTATTTAAATGGATTTTATTCAAATAATTGATGCCTTCTTCTTCATACTCATCATTATTATTATATATACTAAGTCAAATGAGATATGTATAAAATGTAATAAAATTTGGTTTGAAAAACGGTTCAAGCAAAAATTTAAAAACTGGACTAGTGGTAATAATGATATTGATAAATTTATCCAAAATACTCAACTATTAACTCATAATGATGCGGAAAAAGTATTAGAATGGATACCTTATGATAAATTTAATAATATTAAGTCATTAAGTGCATTGTAAAAGACCAAGTATATAAAGCAAATTGGATTGATAGATATTGATATAAATAAATGGGATGACAAAAATCAAAATTGGGAAAGAATAGAACAAAATATATTTGTAATTTTAAAAAGTTTAAATATTTCAAATATTAGTGAATTAAATGAGGTATAATTAATACTATTATTTAATAAAATATTTTGAATATTTTGATTTTTATTAATATATTCAATACATCTATTTTTTTTGTAGACTATAGAAGTTTATGGAATAACCCAAAATCCAGAAACAGAAAAATACATGGTAGTTTTAACATGTAAACAATGTAATAATATATGTAATACAGTACACTTTCAACTAAATTTTGGAAATTGGACTAGTGGTAATAATGATATTAATAGATTTATTCGAGATACTCAGCTATTTTTTCATGAAACCAATCAAATATCATATGTATTAGAATGGATTCCTTTTGATAGATTTTATGATATTAAACATATTATTGCAAAAGGAGAAGTGTATATAGCAAATTGGATTGATGGATATATGAATAAATGGAATAATGAAAATCAAAATTGGGAAAGAAAAAATCAAAATATGTTCGTAATCCTGAAAAATTTAAACAATTTAGAAATTTTGAAGTTAGAATATATAGGAACGGTATACTATCTGATTTATTCTTTACTAACGATAACATTAAAACATTTATTTTACTAATGCATTTTGTGTATATACTATATTTGTAGTTTGAACCTCATCGAGTTTATGGCGTAACCCAAAATCCTGTAACAAAAGATTATATGATGATTCAGAAAGATATATGTGAAAAATGTAGTTATATATGTAATGCAGTATATTTTCAACGAAATTTCAAAATTTGGACAAGTGGTAATAATAATGTTGATAAATTTATCCAAAATACTCAGCTATTAGCTCATAATGATGCGGAAAAAGCACTAGAATGGATACCTTATGATAAAGTTCGTGGTATTAAATGTATTGTGAAGGATGAAATATATAAAGCAAATTGGATTGATGGGTATATAAATAAGTGGGATGATGAGAATCAAAAGTGGAAAAGAAAAAATCATGATATGATTGTAATTTTGAGAAGATTCAATAGTCCAGAAAATAATTTATTAAAATTTATTAATGAGGTATGAATTAATGAATTTTTAAATATTTAATTTTTGTTAATTTATCATATTTATAGATTGCAAAATATCACAGAGTTTATGGAATAACTCAGGATCCAAAGACAAAACATTATATGGTAATTTTTAGCAAAATGTGTAAAAAACACAACGATATGTGTAACGCACTATATTTTCAACAAAATTTCAAAAATTGGACTAGTGGTAATAATGATATTGATGAATTTATTCAGATTACTCAGCTATTGTCACATAATACCTATCAGATATCAAAAGCATTAGAATGGATTCCTTATGATAGATTTTATAACATTAAATGTACTGCAAAAGTATGCGGAGATTTGCATCCCCAAAATTTTACTGATAAATTATATAGAGCTAATTGGATTGATGGATATATAAATAAATGGGATGATGCGAATCAAAATTGGAAAAGAAAAAATCAAGATATGATTATAATTTTGAAAATCTTTAATAGCCCGGAAAACGTTTTGTTAAAATTTATTAGCGAGGTATGATTTATTATTTTTAATGAAATTCTGAAAATTTTGATTTTCGTTAATATTTTATTTTTATAGTTTATAGGTTTTCATGAAGTTTATGGGATAACTAAGGATCCAGAGACAAAAAACTTTATAGTAGCTTTTAATGAAGAATGTAAAAAATACAAGCATGTGTGTAATGCATTACATTTTCAACAAAATTTCAAAAATTGGACAAGTGGTAATAGCGATATTGATGGATTTGTTCAATATATTCAGCTATCAAGTCATAGTTATAATGCATGTCATGCATTGGAATGGATACCTTACAATAAATTTTATGATATTGAATATATTGCAAAAGGTGGATTTGGCAAAGTTTATAAGGCTAATTGGAAAGATGGATGTATAGATAAATGGGATGATGAAAATCAAAATTGGAGAAGAAAGAATCAAAATATGTTGGTGGCTTTAAAAAGTTTGAATAATTCAAAAAATGTTACATTGGAGTTTATGAATGAGGTAACTAATTTTATTATTTGAAATTAGTAAATATTTTAATTTTGCTAATATATACATTTTATTTTAGATTACATCACATTGTAAAGTAAATTTGGGTAGGTGCATTGTTAAACTTTATGGAATAACTCAAGATCCAGAAACAGAAAATTATGCTATGGTTTTAGATTTTGCAGAGGATGGAGATTTACGAAATTATTTAAATAAAAATCATAACAAATTATATCTTAAAGATAAAATTAATTATTTACATAGCATTACACGAGGGCTTGCAGATATTCATAAAAACGAATTAATTCATCGAGATTTACATATTGGAAATATACTAAGGTTCAAAGATCTCACTTGTATAACAGACATGGGATTATGTAAACCTGCAGATTAAAATCCATCAGAAAATACAAAAAAAAGTACATATGGTATTTTACCTTATATTACTCCTGAAATATTACGAGGACAAAATTATACCAAAGCCTCAGATATTTATAGTTTTGGTATTATTATGTATGAAGTAATTTCTGAATTACCTCCATATCATGATGTAAATCATGATTATAATTTAGCAATAAGAATTTGTAAAGGACTTAGACCAAGGTTTAATATCAAAGTACCACAATTAATTGTCCATTTAATTAAAAGATGCTTAAGATTTTTTTGATTTCTTCTGCTTCTGGTCAACTTAACGGATTTGAATCTAAGTCAATGGTCTAAAGAATTATTTACTACGTTGAAAAATCATCATGTAGCTGATAATTATGCAGAAATACAGAAACAAATTAGAGAAGCAGAAAATATCAATAAGAATTTGGCGGTCAGTAGTGCACCTTCAACCAACTTAGGATTATTGATCGTATAAAACACGTTCAGAAGACATTTATACCAGTAGATTGCTTAATTTTAATAATCTTCCTGAACCAAAAAATTCTGTCGATTATTATGATAATCAAAATGATGATATAATTAGCATGGAATCTTCAGGTATCAACTAATTTTATTAAATCAACATAAAATTAATTATTAATAATATTTTAAATTATTAAATAGAATACTTACAGATTGATTTCCATAAATTGAAAAATGATGATGATAATATTCCTGAACAAAAAATTTCTGATGATTATTATGAAAAAAATGATAATAGTGGTATAAATTTCTGATACTTTTTTTTATGAAAAAATATTCAAATTAATTAAAGTATTAATAAGTTTTAATTTACTAAATAGAATCTTTAGAAATTGATATTTCTCAATTGAAAATTACTGATAATATATTTTTCGTAGAAAAAAATTCTGACGAATATGATGATAAACAAAATGATAATATGATTAAAATGGAATTTACAGGTATTGCTTGATAAAAGAAAAATATAAATTAATTATAAAAAGGCTAATAAAATTTTATCTATTAAATAGCATCTTTATCTTTACAAATTGATGTTTCTCAATTGAATATTAATGAAGATGGTAAATTTTAAGTTTATATTTATAATTTTCTTTTTTATTCATATTTATATCTAAATTTCTACTTTCTTTTTCTTCTACTTTTTTTTTAGATCAAAGTAACAAATCTAAAGGAGTAATTATCCAAAACGATTAAGTAACCAAGTACTCCTTAAATTTTAGTTACTGTAAATTTTATATTTTTATACTTTATTTCCCACCATTATAGTTTATAGCAGAAGAAGGGAGTGAGAGTCAAATGTACACTTGTTATATTACTGTATATTTATTTATTTATTTTATATTTATTAAAATCATTGATTATATCCTTAAACCTTGATAAATTTATAATTTGACCCTAATACAAAAAGGATTTAAATAAATAAAAAAAAATTATTTATTATTTCGAGTATACAATCATATTTCACAATTGATGAGTAAATCGAGGAATTTCAATTGAAGGGAAAAAATGTATCAAATTTCAGATTCAAAGTGGCTAATAAAATAAAAATATATCATAGAATTATCAAAAGTATGATAAGAGTCATAAATTAATATAAGCTAATTTCCTAAATTTCCTTACATGGAGTGCAGAGATCTTATCGTGAAACAAAAAAGCGAAGGTTTTGTCACTGATAATCATGACCAGGCATTTTTTTACACGTCTCTATAAACAGAACCTAGAAATATATATAAGAGGGTCAGGTTTGAGTTTGCATATTTTGAACTAGAAAAATCATGAAAATCCTTCCTTTTTTAGATAATTTTGATAATGCCAGTCAGAATTTTATTTCCTATTATAGTAACCGACTGGCATTATCATAATTCCGGCCCTGAAAAAATGCGTACATCTCATATACGTAGTAAAAAATTTTTTTCATCACCTGACCACTATATATATATTTCTGGGTCCTCTATAAACCATAAACTTCAATTTCTCATTATTCAACTTAAAAACATTTATTTTTTTTATATAAAAAATTGATTACTTGACGATATATACACTTAGTATACAAGTTTTAGCGAGTCTTTCATTCTGTAGAGGGTTTTACCAAGTGCTGATTTTTTTTAAAGCTAACTTTAAATAGATTAGCTTTAATAAATTTTATCAACCAAAATGCATAATATATTGATAATATACCGCACGCAATAATTTCAATTATTTAGTGGGAAATAACTAAAGAATCCATACATCTTATATCAACGTGCGATAATTATCAAATACTTTATTTTCCTGTACTCTCATATGCATTATACTGTATATCAATTACAGGACCGATAAAATGATAAAATATCAAAAAAAATAGGGAAGGTGGCTTTTTGTGGAAGGCGTGCGGGGTGAAAAGAGTTTTCAGTAAGAAGGTAGACTTCGAAGTAGTGTGTGATTTTGGTAGTGCGGACATGTGCGCTTGCACATGACTATCTTTTTTTTTTTTTCTTTTTTTTTTCTTTTTAATGTCGTCTGGTTTCTTTGGCAAGGTAAGCTTATCCCTTTTGTTTGCTTCTTTTCATTTCTTTTCATTTGTTATTTATTTTTGCTAACATCTTTTTTTACTTCATTTCTCTTTTATTTTCGGTCATTATCGTAGTCAGTTCTTTTTTTTTTAGGCGTTTTTGGTGTTTTAATGTCATCTGGTTCCTTAGATAAGGTTGGTTTATCCCTTTTTGTTTATAAATTTTATAGAGGAGCATATTAGTAAATTAATCCTTTTGTAACGCAACAGGCTACTGCTAGTAAATACTAAATTTATTGATTATATACTCAAAATAAAATGAGGTGTGTGACAAAAAAATAATTTATTATTTCGAGATTTGACGACATTATTAATAGAATGATAAACCAAGGACTTGCAGTTATGATTACAACTGAAGAGTAAAAGATACATGAACATAAAATTTTTAAATTTTATAAAAATTAAGCACAATCCACGTAAACAAATCAAATAAATTAAATAAATTATATTATAATATTATTAAGTAAAAAGATTTAAATAAAATAAATGAATCTATAAAATTTCTTAATTAATTACCTAAATTATTTAGCATAATTTTCCAAAAAGTTTGTTTAACCTCTAATAATTATCTAACGCCACTAAATAATTCATTAGACGATTATCTAAAAAAAAATAAATATAAACTCATAATTAAACAATGGCAACCTCGTATCACTATTGTTTGATTCATTATTTATTTACCCTATAAATCTATCAATTTTGTAGAGAAATATGAAATAATCATTTCAAAATATCCATTATATCACTTATAAATAGGTTAAAGAGCAACTTGCATTATGAAAACTTGTTATTAAAGAGTTAATATATGAAAAAGAATAAATAAATACAACTCGATTGTATTTGTAATAGTTATTTCACAAATATTAATGAAAATGTTATCAATTCTGAATTAGTTATTTTATGCCACTGTTCCGCTCATTTCCGAATACTAATTAATATAGAGTAATTTTTATAATTATTAACTCTTCGTGATGGAATTTATGCATATATGTGTAAGCTTGGTTATATGAAAATTTACGTTTAAACTATTGGTAAAATTGCAGTAATACAAAAATTTGCCGTGTTATTATAATAAATACTAGTGTTCACCTGTTGTCTACGACAACAGTTAATATGTAATTCCGGCCAGAATTAAAAGATCTGCAAAGAATTTCCTTTTTTGGAAATTTGAGCAACACAATTTTTTTAATTTCTCTGAAAAGTAACAGAAGACAAAATTTCCTTTTTTGGAAATTTGCGTAACCGACAATTTCCTTTTATGGAATCCTGTGTAACCCAAAATTTCAGTTTTTCGCCAGAAATAAAATTTCCTTTTTTGGTCTTGTGTAACATTGGCGACGAATAGGAGTAGGGTTACACAATTCAAATGACTTATTTATATGGTTAATCTAAACATAACGCCCACGTGATTGCAGTGTTTTTAAATATATAGATGCTGAACAAAACAATAAATATGATATTTCTTTCTTTCTCTTTAAATTAATCCACAATGTCTAATAAACAGATTTATTCAGATAATTCAGATAACAATAACTTTTCAAATACTCAAATTACAAATAATTTTGTTAAAATAAATATAAGGGAAGTGGAGCCCACAATCAAAAATATTAATGATGATTTAAATATTATAATTGATGAGTTAGTTAATCTTATTTTTAAAGAAATAAATGAAGGAAGACGTGTTATTAAAATAAGGCAACACGTCATTGACAATATTGATAGTTACAATATATTTTTAAAAAAAGTTTATGTTGACCTTTTAAATAACCAAAATAATTCAAATTTTATTTATTTGCTTGGATATTTTAATTTTTATGGAATTGGAACTGATTTAAATCAGGAAAAAGGATTTAAATTATATCAAAAAGCTGCAGAATTACAAAATAGAGCGGCTCAATTAAATCTCATTAGGGAATATTTTCATGAAAACATTTGTTTAGATCCCAAATTAGCTTTGAACTATGTGAAAAATTAGCAAAAGAAGAATATGCAGATGGATTGTATGATTTAGGTTATTGTTATGAAGTAGGAGTTGGAACTAATGTTGATAAATAAAAAGCATTTGAATCATATCAAAAGGCGGCAAATTTAGGAAATATTAACGGAATAAATAACTTTATTGGTGTTATAAAAATGGATTTGGAACTAATGTTAATGAACTAAAAGCATATGAATTATATCGAAAAGCCAAGAAAATACAATTGCAATATTTAGCTTAATAGATTGTTATTAGTATAAAGGAATTGGAACTAATATTAATAAAGAGAAGGGATTTGAATTAAATTAAAAAGCAGTAAAATGGAAGTGAAGTTAAAAAAGATATTAATAATGCAATTTATTGGTACAAAAAATCTGCTAAACAAAGAAATAAATAAACTTTAAAGTAATAAATTAAATTTTGTTATTGAAATATTTTTTCTTTTGCTGAGAATAATTGGAATTGGTTATTCCTTTTTATACAGTATATATATTAAGCTAAATTTCAAATTTCACCCTTTTAGTTTTACACGAATTTATGTTATAAATATTTATTGGTACTCGAAAAGATACCATCTTTCCTTTATATAAGTTTAGGACTTAATTTTTTTTATTATTCTTGTTTTCTACATTGAAAATCTCTTCGTAAAATTAAAAATAAATTTCCCACATTGTATATAATAATTATTGTTTTTTTTAAATAAAATAACAAGTAGTGCGCATTACCAAAAAAAAATAGTTCATAGTTGCTGCGCCACAAGAAAATTTAGAATTTTTTGTATACGATATATTAAATTAGTTTAAAAAGATTTCGTAAGTCAACATGAAATTTGTTTTCTGGGAATCTTTATAGAACTTTTTGAACAAACTTTTAGTAACTGGTATTTTTAATAAAATTTTGTATGAAAGTTTCATTTACCAAATTTATTTTGAAAGAATTTATATTGTTATATTAGCCGCAGGTACATATTATATTAATAATAAATATTTTATTACTAATTTTTTATTTGTTGCAGGAAACGTACGCCAACATGATGATACTCATGCAATTATTTATACACTAACCTTATTAGTTATAGTACACAAACCACATTAGCAGCATATCTTTTAGTGTATCTATTAACAAAATTAATATCCATAGTTATAGTGCGAGATAATATTTTTCGCGTGAAACAATGAACAAAGATAATATTTTAATAACTTTTATAAGTAGGAAATATCATTTTTCGTGTAAAACAAATGGAGATAATATTTTTCTTTTGGGTGAGTAATTTCAGAATTTTATAAGCGAAATATTATTCTATATACACGAAAATAATATTTCTTTTATGTGGAACGAGAAAGACTGATTTTATTATCGATTATCATATCAGTTGTACTACTGCGCAGAAGATTTTAATAAATTATACTATTATACATACGCAGTAGTAGTATTACAAATCATATGGTTGAGTAGATATTTCACGTGACATACTATACCGAACCGACACCACTCCTTTTCGTATTACTCCTATAGTCAGTCCTATTATATGATTTTTATTTCTGTTATAAACAATATAGCTAGTATATAAGGGAAACAGGAATTTTACTTTTCTTGTACGTATGCTTTTTTATTATTACAGGTTGTGAATGTATCTGGACAGCATTTATCAAAGGAAGGTTACAATGCGGAGCGCACCCTAGATATAGTCCCCTCTTATAAGCACATTTAAGTTGCTAGTCACACCATAGTATTTTTATAATCACACTATTTTTTTCAGTCCCGAGGGTGTGACTATACAGAGACTTGACCATATATAATTTTCTAAAAATAGTTATTCATTTTTTTTTTTTTTTTGATTTATACATTTATAATATTTTTATTATACTTTTGTAATACGAACATTATTTTGTAATAAATCAATTTATTACAACAAATAATTAATTAAATATATTCAAATATATTTACCAATATAATCTTTTTGGTGCATTAGGAACAGATGTAAAATATTACTATTTGGTCTATCAAAAACAGATAGATCAGTGATCACTAGTAGTAGATAAATACACACCACTCCGTCATTTCATTTTATGAATAAGTTTGGATTGTTGAAGGGTGACGATGTAAAATCAGATAATTTCGACATTATTGGAGTAATATTTTCAAATATAAATAAAAATTTATTATAATATCGTAATGAATATTTATTGACGAATAAAAAATAGTGGCTTTGACTGGTTACACTAATAAAAGTCAGATTGCGCATGTGCCGTTGAGGTGATCGGACTGTAGCGTACGGTGAGCTATGTATGTACGTATAGTGGTCAATGTATGGCAACGTCCGTATACATTACCCTACAGTATACATCACCCACCCTACAGTATGGTAGAAATGACCATACATACCGTACGTTGATCACTATACAGACATACATAGGCCTCTATACATGACATGTTTCCGTCGTACCCGAATTTTTTTATATGTAACTTTTTGTGCTACAGTACATGATTGACATCGATTTCAACCATTTTGCGTAAAGGTCACGTGATAGTAATAGAAATACTTTAACGAATAGTTTAAAATTTAGTGTATGTGTGGAAATTAAAGCGTATACTTTATTTAAATTTATAATAAATGTATATCAATAAGTACGAAAAGTAAATGCTAAACAAAATGCAATCACAAATAAATCATATCAAAATATAATTAACAATATTGCTGCCTCGCTATCGGCGATCTGCAATATTACAATATGAATAAACCAAAAATTTATATATTAATCCTTAACTTACACTTAGTATAACTTGCACTAAGTGTAAGTTATCCAAAGTGTAAGTTATACAAAACACCAACAAATTGTTGATCATTTCAATTATGTCAGCGGTATGCCGAATTTTTGCCGAATTTTGCATATATGCTGATCTGCGTAACAATATTACTAACATAAAATTTCTTTTTTGGAATTTATTAACGTCCAAATTTCTTACATGCAAATAGTTTATTATTTTAAAAGAAATTTTTTGAGCATTTGCAAAATGTTTTTCAAAAAAAAACCTTTAGAGATACATAACATTCTGGAATATTTAAAAAATAATTTTACAAATTGGACCAGTAGAAATGAAAAAATTGATAACTTCATTCAGGAAATGCAATTGAACATCAATAATGAAAATGATGTAGTATTTGAATGGATACCATATAAACAATTTAATAAAATCAAAGAGATAGGCAAAAATGATTCTATAACAGTGTATTCATCAATATGGAAGGATGGTCCATTATGTAAAATGAATATGTTGAGTGGGTATTATGCAAGGGATCCAAATATAAATGTCGCCTTAAAATATTTACATAACTCACAAGATTCTGTTGATTTTCTAATAAATGAGGTATACCATTTTAATAAATATTCTTAATACTTTAAGTATAATAAATTTACTCATTTGTTTATATTTAGGCTAAAAAATATTCAACAAAGATCTTTGATAGAGCAATTTGTGACATATATGGAATATCTCAAAATCCAAAAACAAATAACTATATTTTAGTTCTTGCATGGGCGAGTGGAAGTGAAAAAATTGATAAATTCATTCAAGAAATGCGATTAAAAATTAAATGGATACCATATAATCAGCTTCATTACATTAAAGAGGCAGACAAAAATGACCTTATAACATTGTATTCAGCAATATGGAAAGCTGGCCCATTATATAAGAGATATGGTTTGAGTAATTATACAAGAAATCCATGTAAAGAAGTTGCCTTAAAATGTTTACATAATTCACAAGAATCCATTGATTCTTTAATAAATAAGGTATGAATTTCTTTAAAGATTTAAATACTTTTTTTATTTATTATATTAACAATAGTTTTTACTTATATTTAGGCTAAAAAGTATCTAACAATACATAATGCATTTCAAGTATTGTATGGAATATCTCAAAATCCAGATACAGGAGATTATATTTTAATTCTTAACCAGACGAGTGGAAATGTAAAAATTGATGATTTCATTCAAGAAAAGCAATTAGAAATAAATGACTATGATGATATAGTGTTTGAATGGGTTCCATACAATCAGTTTAATAAAATTGAAAAGACAGGCAAAAATGGCCCTGTAACAGCATATTCAGCAATATGGAAAGATGATTTACTACATTATCAGTATTATGGATATACAAGACATTCAAATAACAAAATTGCTTTAAAATGTTTTCATAATTCACAAAAATCCATTGATTCTTTAATAAATGAGGTATGAAATTCTTTAATTATTTAAATGTTTATTTTAATATATTTACAATCTCTTTTATTTATATTCAGGCAAATAAATATCAAACAAAGCATAAAGCATTTCAAGTATTATATGGAATATCTCAAAATCCATTTACAGGAGATTATATTTTAATTCTTAACTTGATGAGTGGAAATGAAAAAATTGATGATTTCATTCTGGAAAGGCAATTGAAAATTAGTAACTATGATGATATTGTGCTTGAATGGATACCATATAATCAGTTTAATGAAATTAAAGAAACAGGCAAAAATAACCTTATAAAAGTATATTCAGCAACATGGAAAGATGGTCCATTATACAAGAAGAATAGACAGAGTAATTATACAAGAAATTCAAATAAAGAAGTTGCTTTAAAATGTTTACATAATTCACAAGTATTCATTGATTCTTTAATAAATAAGGTAAGGAATTTCTTTAAATATTTAAATACTTTTTTTAATTAACATATTCTAATATTTATATTAGGCTAAAAAATATCCAACAAAATATAAAGCATTTCAAGTATTGTATGGGATATCTCAAAATCCAGATACAGGAAATTACATTTTTGTTATTAACTGGACAAGTGGAAATGAAAAAATTGATGATTTCATTCAAGAAAGGCAGTTAGAAGTTAATGATTATTATGATATAGTGCTTGAATGGATACCATACAATCAATTTAATGAAATTAAAAAGACAGGCAAAAATGACCTTATAACAGTATATTCAGCAATATGGAATAATGGTCCAATATACAAATTGTTTGATAATGATAATTATAAAAGAGATTCAAATATAAAAGTTGTTTTAAAATGTTCACATAATTTACAAGTTTCTATTGATTCTTTAATATATGAGGTATGAAATTTCTTCAAATATTTAATAAATACTTATTTTAATTAATATATTTACCTTTTATTTATATTTAGGCTAAAAAATATTCAATAAAACATGAAGCATTTCAAGTATTATATGGAATAACTCAAGATCCATATACAAGAAATTATATTTTTGTTCAAAATAATTCTATAAACTTAACAAATTGGATCAGTGGAAATGAAAAAATTGACGATTTCATTCAAGAAATGCAATTGAAAATTAGTAACTATGATGATATTGTGCTTGAATGGATACCATACAATCAGTTTAATGAAATTAAAGAAACAAACAAAAATAACCTTATAACAGTATATTTAGCAATATGGAAGGATGGTCCATTATACAAGAAGAATAGACAGAGTAATTATACAAGAAATTCAAATAAAGAAGTTGCTTTAAAATATTTACATAATTCACAAATATTCATTGATTCTTTAATAAATAAGGTATGAAATTTCTTTAAATCCTATTTAAATACTTTTTTTAATTAACATATTCTAATATTTATATTAGGCTAAAAAATATCCAATAAAACATAAAGCATTTCAAGTATTGTATGGGATATCTCAAAATCCAGATACAGGAGATTATATTTTTGTTCTTAACTGGACAAGTGGAAATGAAAAAATTGATGATTTCATTCAAGAAAGGCAGTTAGAAGTTAATGATTATAATGATATAGTACTTGAATGGATACCATACAATCAATTTAATGAAATTAAAAAGACAGGCAAAAATAACCAAATAACAGTATATTCAGCAATATGGACAAATGGTCCATTATACAAATTGCTTGATGATTATGATTATAAAAGAAATTTAAATATAGAAGTTGTTTTAAAATGTTTACATAATTCACAAGAATCTATTGATTCATTAATAAATGAGGTATAATTTTCTTTAAATGTTTATGTATTTTTTCAATTAATATTTACAATCTCCTTTATTTATATTTAGGCTAAAAAATACCCAACAAAACATAAAGCATTTCAAGCATTGTATGGAATATCTCAAAATCCAGATACAGAAGATTATATTTTAGTTCTTATGTGGACAAGTGGAAATGACAAAATTGATTATTTCATTCAAGAAATGCAATTAAAAATAAATGAACATGGCTATGATGATATAATACTTGAATGGATACCATACAGTCAGTTTAATAATATTAAGGAAATAGGTAAAGGTGGTTTTTCTACAGTATATTCAGCAGAATGGAAGAATGGTCCATTAGAATATAATGTGGATAAAGAAATCTACAAAAGGAATTCAAATAAAGTAATTGCTTTGAAATGTTTGCATAATTCCCAAATTATTACTGATAAATTTTTAAATGAGGTATGAAACTTTTTTAAAAGAATCACTATAATAGAATAATCTTTTATTTAAGCACAATGTAATTACTTATTTTTTGATATCAATGTATTTTAATAGGTTAAAGAGTACTCAATAAGTAAAAGCAGTAATATTCTTAATATATATGGAATATCTCAAAATCCAGATACAAAAGAATATATTATGGTTCTCCAATATGCAAAAGAAGGCAATTTTAATCATTGGATAAGTAGAAACTATGAATATTTCAATTGGAAGGACAAAATATCTGTATTACTTAATATTGTTAATGGTCTTAAGGAAATACATCAAAGAAATTTAGTTCATCGTGATTTTCATACAGGAAATATATTAATTTTAAATTACATAAGTTATTTTAGTAACTGTGTATTAATTTCAGATATGGGATTATGTGGAGAAGTAGATGAAACTAAAATTTATGGAGTTATGCCTTATATGGCTCCTGAAGTATTAAGAGGAAAGCTTTATACTCAAGCAGCAGATATTTATAGTTTCGGTATGATAATGTACTTTGTAGCAACTGGAAAACAACCTTTTGGCGATCATGCACATGATCATCTTCTTGCATTAGATATTTGCAAAGGAATTAGACCTGAAATAAGTGAGCCAGAAGCACCAAAATATTATATTGATTTAATGAAAAAGTGTTGGGATTTAGATAAAAATAATAGACCAGATATTTTTGAGATAAATAAATTAATCACATCATTTTATGAGTTATATGTGGAGAATTTTGTTACTGTAGAAAATGAAGAAATTGTAATACAATTTAAGGAGGCAGAAGAATATAGAAAAGCAAATCTTACTTCCATTGAAAATTACCAAACAGCTACCCATTCACAAGCTATTTATACATCTCGATTACTTAATCCTATTACAAAAGATCTTCCAAAAAATGATGATGATTATAATTCTCAATGTTTAGATCAAGTAATCTGACTCCAGATGAAATCCAAACAAAGTATATTATAATAATATTGTGTTTAATTAAGATGTGCTAAAAATTATTCACTTGATATATATTTATATAGCTATTATTTTATAGTAATTTGCAATTAACATACAATTTTGTCCAACACTGTATATAGAATAACATTTATTCATGAATAAAATCAGTTTGTAATTGGACATTTTAAATATATTATTATTTTTTCTGATATGATAAACAAATGTTGGTAGCATTAACACTTCAATGAAATAATTCTTCAATGCATGAATTTGTTGATATATTTGTTGATATATTTGCAAAATAAAACATTCCATCCTTTCCTTTATATTCGTAAAATAACAAAAATAATACAATTTTTAAAATATTAAATATTTCATTTACACTGAGTTTAGGAACAAACTGAATTTTATTAGTTATCAAATTAAGACCAACTGGCTTAAATAAGTAAAAAATAAGCAATAATATTTATTTAATAAAAAATAAATCAACTGAAATAACATATTATAGTAGAAATTTATTTTTATAATTTTATCAAAGGCTTCTAGATATGTTATACTACAATACAGTAAGTACAACTAGTGCCTCGACCCGTATCCGGATCAATCCGGATTGATCCGGATTTTTTTTTTTTTCGGATATCCGGATTTTCACGGTTTTCATCCAGATTATAAATCGGATGAAAAATATCCGGTTTGACCCGGAATCCGGATGAAATTTTTATTATTTTTTTTTTTAATTAATAATGATTTTGCTGATCCATAAAGATCTATATCTAAATTATATTATGGCTAATTATTTTTGCGCCTAATACCAATTTTTTTATTAAAATTTATTAAATTTATATTTGTTATATTAAACTTTTTAATACAGTAAGTTTAAGAAGATTTTTCAATTATAATTTATTTATTGAAGTTTGTATCAGATTTGTTTATTTAAATTTATACATTAACAAATAACAAATAATTTTAGATTTCACATTCAAATGTTCCTGTCTCTTATACACATCTAGATGTGTATAAGAGACAGCTTTTAGGTAAAATACATTTCTGGACTTTCTTCATAGGAGTTAACTTAACTTTTATGCCTATGCACTCATTGGGCCTAGCGGGAATGCCTCGAAGAATACCAGATTACCCTGACGCCTTTGCAGGTTGGAATTTGGTTGCTTCATTTGGTTCTGTAATTTCACTAGTTTCTGCTTTCCTTTTCCTTTATATTTTATTTAATCAATTAACTTCTCCACTACAGGTTAAAGCCAATCCTTGGGCTATTCCTGCATACTTTGAGCCTAATACTCCTCTTTCTTCTACTCAAGCTTCACCTACATTGGAATGGCTTGTTTCTTCTCCTCCTAGTTTTCATACATATGGCGAACTACCTATTTCATCTTAATAAAAAATCCCCCCTCCCATTTNAAATTTAATGTTACACAATTTGTAATTCTGGCCGGCGTTATGAATTCTGGCCAGAATTATTGCCGATCATTTGTAAATCCAATCCGGTTTCCGGTTTCTATCCGGATTATCTGATCCGGATTCAAAATCCGGGTCAATCCGGATATAATCCGGATTATCTGATCCGGATTCAAAATCCGGGTCAATCCGGATATAATCCGGATTTTTTTTTTGTGTAATCCGGATGACGGTTTTCATCCGGGTCGAAGCACTAAGTACAACAACAAAATTATGAAATTTACTAATAAAGGACTGTTATGTTAGTTTCTACTTGCGTAGGAAAAATGGCCAATCGATAGTGCACATATGGGATCTAAATTGTGTTGTTTCTTATTTATAGTAAAAGCTTGGATATATTGCAAAAAGAACATGAATATAGGTCAATTCTGATGGTTACAAAAATTTTAAGAGGAGGTAGAAGAGGGAATGTAACTTTACCTAATAGTAAATACTACTTTACAGTAACAATATATACAGTATATATTCCATACCAAATGTATGACATTACAATTTGAAGTTCATTGATAGATAATTTTTTGAATACTATTATCCTTGGGTACATTTAGTGCCAAATTGTTTTTCTACTTGGCATTTTCTGTTAACAACAATATTGCTGGCATTCAATTCGACCTAAAGATGGTCAATGGTCCTACTCGGTCCTACTCAGTCCGGTCTAAGCCAGTCCTAGTCTTTGTAAGACTGGACTGCAGGCCTTATTCATTTGTGGCACACTGGACTGAACCAGAGACTGACCAAGAGACCATCAGCCCGTCTTACAAAATTGATTTTTTCACAACATTTCCTTTTATTTTCTTTTTAGGAATGGTTTGAGACTTGGTCTTACTTAAAATATTTTTTTTTTTATTTTTTTCAAATATTCCTAAAAAATGTAAAATCTGCTCTTGATGATGATTTAAATAAATAAAAAAATTCCATAAATAAGTGTTTATTATTTAATATTATAACATAATTTATAATATATATTGATATGTCTTTAGAAGGCCATGATCCTGGTTTTATTGATTTATCATGCAATTGAAAAGAACTATAGGAGACTGCGTCCTATGTGGTCCAGTCTTTTTGCCACATAGGACCAAAGGTGACTATGGTCTTTAGGACCATTGTTCATCTTTAATTCAATCTGCATTTTCTGATATTTTTTTAGTACCACTATTCATATATGTTATGAAAAATTTCATAACAAAATTATAGAAACAAATTAATACTTTAGCCTTTAGGTTTTTACCAGAAACTTCAAATGAAATGAACTGCCAGTAATAGTGATAATTCAAAATCAAATTTTTTTTAGCTAAAAAAGTTTAACACTGAACTATGAATTTAAATCTCATATTATTTTATTTTAAAACTAGGGTAATTTGGTATTGTTAGTGAGTTATAATATAATTATTGCATTATTCAGTAATTATTTATATATATTTTAAGTAATATAATAGGGTTTATATTAAAAAGTTGATTTGTATTTTGTATATTTATCAAATAATAAATTTTATGGTTTATTTTGAGTTTATTAGTTTTATTAAAGAAATATTATATTTAATGATCAAAATGAATTAATCCTGTAACATGTTAAATGGTAATAATATAAAGATAAATATAAATATAATAGTTTGTATTGATTTTAATAAAATATTAGATATGATGATAATGTTAAGTATA